CCTCCCCCCACCACCTCTCCGCCTTCCTTGCCTCCTCCTCAGCCTCTCCCACTGCCTGAGCATCCCACAGGCCTCCTGCTCTTCCTCTCATCACCCAGGCCCCCACACAGCCCTCGAAGTAGCCACAGGGGCCTCCTGCCGTCCTGCTCGCAGCCATGGAGATGTTAATTTGTGGGAGGGGCTTGAACACGTTTTCCTGGTAGCTTTTCAGGTTGGTCACCTCACAATTGAAAGGTCTAAGCTCTTGAGGTTTCCTAACTTTCTTAGTGGCTCCATTGTACTGAGGCGTTTAATTTTGTTGCCACTTAAATTTAGATGCATGAGGTTCGGACACCTTGCCAATACTTCCAGGCCCCCTGAGATTCTGGTATCGCTTAGTTAGAGCTTCTTAAGCCTGTTTAACTTTGGTAAGTTTGGGCCTGAGGTGAGGCCTGCATTGATTGTACTGAAGAACTCTAGTTCTTCAAACTCATCTGTGAGGCCTTCGATTTTGCCTTCACTAGACCGACGGCTGTCCAGGACAAGCTCTTTCACCTCGGAGGGTGCCCTGTTTCACAGTCCTAAATGAATTCACTTGTCCATGTCCATCTCTCATGCTCTCTCTCTGCAGAGGCTCCCACGTCGGCGTAATTAAATCAATAAACCCGAACCCACTGCCGCGCATTTTAAGACTTTGAAGGCTCAACCAGCTCCGCTCGCTCTCCAAAAGGGGGCAGCTTTAAATGTAGTTACCATTCATCCTTCTAGTCTTAATAATTTAACTGAGTTCTGCAAACAATTGTGGCTTTACCCATGCATTTCAATGTAAGCCTTTAATAGTTTCCTCTATGTTTGTTTTTCATGCATGAATCATGTTTCCCATATTTTTGAAGTAAAAAGAAGGAACAATTAAGTTTAAAAAGGTTTTAATTGGCTTTATTAATGCCAACCATATAATATACAGTTACTATGTTGATAACCTAAGTTCTATAACTGAAGAATGCTTTGCAATGTCTTAGTGATTGACAGACTATTTCAGGGAAATGTGAAAGCACGCAGCCACTGCCTTCAAAATGGAGGACATTAGTGCCCAATTCATGAGCACATATAAAAATAATATGCAGCTGCGCTGTGCTAACTAAGGGCAGATGCACTCTGATACCTGTGGGTGGTCAGGGAGCTCCTGGACTATTCTTTTACTACATCAAACGGACACATACCAGGTGATGGTAAGTGCTACAAATAAAATAAAGTAGAGAAGAGGGATAGGGAGTGCCAATGGTGGTGGTGGGGTGTCAGTTTTTAATGCAATGTTCCGGAAAGCCTCCCTAGACTGTGACATTTCAGCAGGACCAAAAAAGGGGGAGGGAGGGAGGGAGCAACATGCGTGCAGGACTCAGGAGTGACCTTCAGGAAAAAAAAGGCCCTTCTCCAGCACACTGGAAAGGAAGCTTAAAGGCTCCCTATGATGGGACTGTGGGGCAAATCTATGTACGACATGCTCAGTAACCTTCTAATTACCCTGGAGGATACCCCTTTCACCAAGGCATAAAAAATGTAGTGACGGGCACCAGCACCACTGAAGAGCTTTGTGGGGGTTGTCATCTGTAGGCTGAAAATGACTGTAGGGATGATGCAGTGGAATTAGGTACCCTGATCTCAGTGGAAATGATGGCATCCTGGAGTGGTAAAAGCCAGATGGTAGTGCTTAACTCTTGGAGACAAGCTAGGCACAATGAGCTTTGTGGGGGTTTTCTATTTTCAGGGATGTATGGCAATAGTTAATGAATCATAAGATCTATAGGAAATAGATCTTAGTGCTGTTTGACATACATAGGTGGAAGACTTAACTAGTATCATCATGGTGGGGGTCGTGGCCTTTTACCCAGTTCTTAAACCTAAGCCAGTTCCCAGAGTCAGAATCTCCTGATTGAGGGGAAGGTCAGATCCCTTTGAGGAAGAATCCTGAAATGCCACCTCAGGTATGTATAGTAAATCTTTCCCTAAGCCTTCCCTAGAGGCACCTGAAGCCATTTACAACTGTACTTGGAAAGGGAAATACACACAATTTCCAGGTCTTGTTAGACACTGGCTCTTAGCCGACGCTGATTTCTGGAGATCCAACAATTCCATTATAGTCTAGTGAGTAGAGATTTAAGGAAATCAGGTGGCACATATGCCTTGGCCTAGGCTCCACCTTGCAATGGGCCCAGTAATATCACAGACCTACCTCTAGTTATTTCCATGGTCTCAGAACATGTAACGGGAATAGATACACTTAGTAACTGGCAGAATCCCCACATCGGTTCCATGACCCATAGAGTTCAGGCTATGCTTTGAAGGACCAGGAAGTTTAAAAAGGAAGCCCCTAGAATGACACTCCCTCACCCCCAAAAAGTCTTTCAGGGAAAACTGCAGAGATGACTACCACCATCAAAGACTTGATTCTATCACATTCCAATATAACCCGCCTGCTTTTCTGAAAAGCCAGATGGATTGTGGAAAATGACTTGATTATTGCAAATATAAATAGCTGAAGTTCCAGCTGTGGCATCCTTACTAGAGCAAATCAACATAGCCCCTGGCATCTAGTATACAGCTCTCAACCTAGAAATGTTTTTAAAAATCTCTATTAATAAAGATAATTAGAATCAGCCAGCCTTCATGTGTCTGGGACACAGTACACCTTTACTGCTTTGCCTCACAGCTATGTCAACTCTGCTATATTAAGAGGGACCTGGACTTTCTGGATATCCCACAGAACACCACACGGTCTATTACATTGATGATATAATGCTAACTGGACTTATTAAGCAGGGAGCAGCAAGCACTCTAGGTGCTACCTGCATGCAAAAGGTGGGTGATGAGTCCTGGGAAAGTCCAAGGGCCTGCCACGCCTGTGCAATGTTCATACAGTGGTCTGAAGCATATCAGGATGTCTCCTCCAAAGTGAGGGAGGGGCAAGCTGTTGCACCTGGAGCTGCCCAATACAAAGAAAAAGTCACAGTAATCAAGGCCTCTTTGATTTTGGAGGCAATGTATACCACAATTGGGTGTTCTGCTCTGATCATTTACTTCAGTTTTGAGTGCGCATCTGCAGCAGGCCCAGGCCACTATGTAGGCTGCCCTGACAGTATAACCTAGAACCAATGCAAGTGCCTTAGGCAGAGATAGATGCTAAAAGCAGCTTTTCATGAGCCTCGGTAGGAAAATCACAAAGCTGACCACTAGGGCTCTGGATTAAGGCCAAGCCTTCTGCCTATACCACATGACACCAAATAACTATGCGGCCATGATGTAATGGTATTATTTGGGCCACAGAACATAATATTGGACATGAACAGTAACTTTCCATTGTGAAATCAAAATGACATCTATGAGACCAGATCAAGCCAGTCCAGAAGGCCCATGTAAACCACACAAACAGGTGGCTCAGACTCTCTGGAAGCTCTTCCCACTCTTTTGCTGCCTCCCCTCAACCTACACCTATAGCTCCCTGGGGAAATGACAGTTAAGAGGGAAAAGTTCAGGCTTGCTTTACAAATGAATCTGTAAGGTATTCCAGCACTAGCTAGAAGTGGAAAACTACTTAGTTATAGCTCTGCTCAGAGTGCCCCTGAAAGACAGTAGGAAAGTTCTCCTACTGTAGAATTGTAAACAGTACTTCTGGGTACATGCTTCATGTGGAAGACAAGATGCAATTCACAGGCAATGGCTGATGGGTGCACTCTGGGACTTGGAAAGAATAAGACTGGAAGACTGATAACAAAGAAATACGTGGATGGTCCTCTCAGGATGTATGTGCATATTCTATGAAGATATTCACATCCCGTATAAAGGCCTACAAGGGGATATTCACTGTGGAAGAGGCCCTCAAAAGTCAGGTGGCGAGATGCTCTGTTTAATGGCCATCAATCACCCTCTTTCCCAGTCACTCCAGTGGTTGTCTAATGGATGTGGCCACCTCCCAGGGATGGAGGTTATGCGTGGGCGTGATAACATGAACTCCCCCTCATCAGAGTGACCTGATACCACATCTGCTGATGCTCAGCCTGCCCAAAGGAGAGTTAACGTTCCACCTCCAGCATGGCACCATTTTCCAGAGAAAGTGGCCAGTTGCCTGGTGTCAGGCTGATTATACTGGACCCTCTATTACAAAGGGTGAAGCTGCTTTGTTTTCATGCTCTGGGTGCAGAGCTGCCTTCCCTGCCTGCAGCCCTCCTGACAGCATCACCATTAGTGAACCCACAGAACACCTTCTCTATTTTCTCAGCATCTCACAAACTATCGAGAGAATTAAAAAAACACTTTCAAAACATGACAAAGAAAATATGAGAAAAGATATTACTGGTGAAATTTACTCCCAGATACAGATGCAAAACTCCTAACCACGACATTAGCAAATCAAACCTAGCAATATATAGAAAAGATCATATATCATGGCAAAATTGGGTTTATTCCAGGAATTCAAGGTTGTTTTACTATTTGGAAATCAACTAACAAAATTAACAGCTCAAAGGAGAAAAACCTATAACCATTAATACAGATGCTAAAAATGAAGAAATTCAACATACGTTCATGATCAAAGTATTCAATTAGGAATGGAGATATGCAGCAATGCATACAATAAACCTGCCTGAAGGGCAAATGGTGAAATCATTCTCTAAGATACAGATTAAGTCTAGGAAGCCCATGACCACACTTTCATTCAGTACTGTCTGAGTGGTTCTACCTACATGATAAGGTAAGGAAACAATGTGTATGGTTTACAAACAGAGAAATACATCCGCCATCATTCACAGATGACATGATTTTTAATGTAAGAAATCCAGCAGAATCTACAGATAAATTAGGAAAATTGGTAAGAGTTAATTAAGCAAGGTTACTAGTTATAAAGTCAATATACAAAATTGATTTCACTCATTTTCACCATCAACGATTAGAAAATACAATTTATAAAATGATATATTTTACAGTAGCTACAAAAATACGTAAAGTACTTAGGACCAAATCCAACAAAAGTTATACAAGACCTGTATGGGGCAAACTATAAAATATGATACATTAGCCCTGGTTGAGGGGCTCAGTTGGTTGCAGCAGCATCCCACGCTCCAAAAGGCCGCAGGTTCAGTTCCTAGCCGGGGTGCATACAGGAGGCAACTGATCGATGTTTCTTTCTCTTATCGAGTCCTCTCTCTCCCCACTTCCTCTCTCTCTAAAAATCAATAAAATATACCCTCAGGTGAGGATAAAAACAAATAAATAAATAAACACAATATAATACATTAAAGAATATTTAAATTAATAATTTGATATTGTAAAAATGTCACTTCTCCAAATTGATTTAAAGATTGACAGTGCCAATCAAAACTGTATTAGGGTTTTTTCAAGGAACCTGACATTTTTGTAGAACAGTAAAAAGTAAAAAAGAGACAAAACACTCCTGATGAAGGAAGTCATCAAGAATTATTGCAAAGGTAGAGTAATTAAACCTATTTGTTGGTGCAGGGATAATCAAATAACTTATAGAACAGAACAAAGAGCCCAGAAACCAACCCATGCATATGTGTAAACTTGCTTTAGGATACAGATGGCATTACAGTTCAGCCTGGAAAGAACACTTTTCAATAAAATGATGCCGGGACAGCTGGATATCCATTTAGAAGTAAAATTAGACTCTTGCTTCCACCATACACAAAACAAATTCCAGCTGCATTAAAATTTTCATTGTGGAAAGCAAAAGTATAAAAATTTTAACTTACATAGAAGTATCTTTATGGTCTTGAGACAAGAAAGAATTTTAAAAAATAGTAAGATACAAAATGTACAAACCATAGGAATAAAATTCTACCTCATTAAAACTGAGAACTTCCGTTATTCAAAAGACTCTTTACAAAGTGAAAAGACAAGTCATGAACTAGAAAAAGGTATTTAAAAACTGAAATGTTAGCCTCCAGAATAAAGAATTCCTACAAATCAATTAAGAAAAAGCCAAACAACCAAATAGAAAAATGGTCAAAAGACATGAACCAGGCATTTCACAGGTGAAGAAATATGAATGAGCCATACACATTTGAAAATATGCTCAATTTAATTATTCAAAAATACATTTTAAAACAAATGAGATACCAACCCTCACCCAAAAGATTTGCAATTATAAAAAAAAAAAAAAAAGACATTATAAAGGGTTGGTGAGGACATGGAGCAACTAACTAGAACTTTGGGCAACAATTTGGCATTATCTAGTGAATTGAAAGATGTTCATATTGATCCATTAGCAATTTCACTCCAAAACATATGCCCTAGAGAAATTCTGGTCCATGAGAACCAGGAGTCATAGACAAGTATGTTCATAAACAGCACTATTTACAATACAAAAAACTTGAGACACCATACTGATGATAGTGTTCTAGAGTAGACTAAATGAATGCATTCTAATATACGTACACAAGGAAATACCATACAGCTGTGAAAACAAATGACAACCAGGTACACACATGGATGAATCTTAAGGACATTACTGAGTGATAAAAAGTCACAGAAAAATAAATTCTAAATAAGTCTATTTAGTTAAAATTTAAAAGCCTGTAAAATTAATAATATAGTGTTCAGAGTATAACATATGTATTAAAATTATAAAGAAAAGCAAAGAATGGTGAGCACAAAATTCAAAAGAGTGGTCGCTCAGAGGTAAAAGAAAAGGAATGGGCTCCGTGAAGCAAAAGATCAAGTGTTGGTGGGGGAAGTACTCCCACACACCACGGGCCAGAGTATAAACAGCGGGTGGCCGTGCGCCTAAGCAGGGGAGAGGCAGGAAGAAGGCAGAACTGAGGATGCTGTAACAGAATGACTTTCCTACTTTATTTTCGCCTTGGGCTGAAGTTGCCAAAATTATAATATGGAAATTAGAACCATCTGTTGACAGGATAAGTTAGTGAGCTGGACAGAATTTACCAAAAGAAATTGAGTAATGTATTTCAGAATCTGTTTTAAATTGTGGGAAAATATAAATAAAAAGCCTACTTTATTTGAGAAAGGAGAAAGCTGTCATTTTATCATTATCTATAATGGTAAAAACATGGAAATAACTTTAGTAACCATTAACATAATACTGGTTAAATAAAATAGGATACATTCATACTATGGCATATTATTACATACATATAAAAATATTAAATAGACCAGGAGTAGAAAAATGGATCAATGGAACAGGACAGAGTTGTTAAACAGATACTACTTAGTACAAGTTAGAGTCATTTCAAAACAGAAGGGAAAAATAAATTAGTCAATAAATGTTTTTGAGACAGTGGATGTCCACTGTCCTATCTAAAGACATTCACAAATACTTTAAATCCAGATAGGTTAAAGAACTAAAGCAATTAAAATGAAATGTGGGTGAATATGCACTCTGAACCTGTGTAGGAAAAGCCTTCTTAAAAACAAAAACAAAGCTCAGAAGAAAAAGAGGAATAAAACATGACTATAAAAACATAAAACCATAAAAACACCAACAAAACCAAAAAACTTCTATAAAGAAAGTTTAAAGACAAGTCTCAGCCTGTAAGATGATACCTGCAACATAAGTAACAGGATTATAACACCTATACAAAAATGCTACAAAATCAATTTAAATGAACAACAACACACAATCCAAAATAAAAATAGGTTAATGACATGAGCAGGCAGTCCACAGAAGAGTAAACAAATACACAATGAACACATGGAAATTCGCAAATTATATCTACCATGTGATGCAACCTTTGTCCAGGTAAAAGCATAAGACTTGAAAAATATCAAGTGCTGGTGAGCAGTGCTGGTGTGTGAATAGTACTCTTAAATACTGCAATCTATTGATATTTTGAGGGGCTATTAGGTAGAATTAATTAAAATAAAAATGGGCATCCATTATGACCCAGGGATTCTATTTCCAGGAATCTACTCTAAAGATACACTCACATACGCACGTGCACAAAGCTATTCACTCAAACATTATTTGTAACAGTGAAAGATATAAAATATCAAAATGTTTATCAGCAGGGGAATAAACCAAAATATCCAGGCAATGCAAGAGTTAAAAAGTATATGGTAAACTTCTAAATACTGACATACACTGAAGGATTACCAACTGATATTGTTAGAAAAAAGGTTTCAGGAAAATACAGAATAATGTTTTAAAACAAAATAAAGTCAATTCTACATACTTTTAAAGATACATGAATGTATGTAAATGTACAGAGAAAGGTCTGGAAAGTAACCAACAAATTAATAATAAAAGTTAACTCTGGGGAGGGGACTGTGTCAGGGTAAGGAACAGTCAAGGGGGCTTTTAATTCTACACTGTTTGAATTTTTAAAAGTAAGGGTATAGCCCTGCCAGGTGGCTCAGTTGGTTGGAGCGTCGTCCCATACAACAAAAGGTTGTGGGTTTGATTCCTCGTCAGGTCACATACCTAGGTTGTGGGTTCAATCCCCGGTATGGCTGCATACAGGAGGCAACTGATCGATGTTTCTCTCTCACATCGGTTTCACTTTCTTTCTCTCTCTTTCTCCCTTCCCCTCTTTCTAAAAATCAATGAACATATGCTTGGTGAGGATTAAACACACACACAATAAGAGTATATTCACTTAATATTTATGTAATTTAAAAATAAATAAAACTTATAAAATAATTACGATACAAAGCTATAGATCCTATACTAAGGGTATGAGCAGAGTCCTGTGGGAACACAGTGAAAGGGAAATCAGTGTGTAGAAAGATTGACAGCAGCGGTGACATCCGAGCTGGGCCTTGCTGCTCGAACAGGATGCTGCCAAGCATTCATAGTTTGGTGGACTGTGGCAAACTGTATTTTCCAAAGATGACTGTACTAACACTCATCCCATCCCATATGTTTTTCTTGGTTTGTTTTAAATATGTTTTTATTGATTTTTAGAGAGGAAGGGAAAGGGATAGAGAGAAACATCAATGAAAAGAAACATCATCATTGACTGGCTGCCTCCTGTGCGCCCCCTACTGGGGATCAAGCCTGCAACCCAACCATGTGCCCTGACCAGGAATCGAACCGTGATCTCCTGGTTCATAGGTCTACACTCAGCTGCTGAGCCACATCAGCTGGGTACATATGCTTTTCTTTCAACAAAATATTGACACTTATCAGTGGAGAGGTGGGAATCTCTGCATCTCCTCCCCCTGAACTTGAGCAAGACTTTTTAACTGCCTTGATGAGCAGAGCGGGGAGGACGTATCATAGAGTGACTTTCCAGATTATTCAGCTTCTGCCTGGTCCTTTTATTCACATAATGCTCAGCCCTGGGACCCAACCAACATGCTGTGTGCTGTGAGGGAGCCCAAACTAGCCCACATGGAGAGGCCACATGAAGAGGCCCATGTGGAGAGAAACTGAGAGGCCAGCCAACAGTGCTCATCAACTCCCAGGTCCACGAGTGAATGGGCCTTCATATGATTTAGTCCCCAGCCTTTGTGGTCTCGGGCTAAGGCCCAAACACATCCTGGAGCAGAGATGAGTCATCCCCACTGTGCCCTGACCCAGAGAACCTGTGAGCAGAGTAAGTGGTTATTTTCCTCCACAAAGTTTTAGAGCAATGTGTTTTACAGCTGGAGTAACTGGAACAGACATTCTAAGGAGAAGAAACTACATGAGTAATAGAATGTCACAGAGCACTGTGAATCCTGGCAGTTATTGGGTGATGAGGCCAAAGAGTTTGGCTGGGACCAGACTATGAAAAGTCTTATATGACAGTACAAAAAAATTAGACATCCTATTGGCACTGGAGAACTGCAGAAAGTTCTTAAAGTGAAATGCTAAGATATGCGTTTGAGAAAGATCTCTCCGAGTTTAGTGTAAAGGAAAGACTGGAGAAAAGACAGATTTATAAACAGGAAAAGCTCCTCCAATTAACATGACTCCTGCCCAAGTAAAATGGTGGAATCATCCCTCATGCGACAGGTTTTGTGACTTTTTTCCTCTTAAGGGTTGCCAGTGACGCTCATTTATACTCAATTTCACTTGCATTAAAATGCTGGCCGGGGGAAGCATGTCCACACAACCTGTAGACGGATATCTACAGCAGCTTTATTCATAACTGCCAAAACTTGGACACAGCCAAGATGTTCTTCAGAAGGTGAGTGGATGAATACTCTAGTATATCCTATTTAGCACTAAAAAGAAATGAGCTATCAAGCCATGAAAAGACAAGGAGGAACAGTAAAGCCTATTACTAAGTGAAAGGAGCCAGTCTGAAAAGGCTACATACTTTATTATAACAACTATATGACTTTCTGGGAAAGACAAAAGTATGGAGACTGTTACAATATCAGTGGTTGACAGGGGTAGAGGGGGAGGGAGAAATGAATAGCAGAGCCTAGAGGATTTTTAGGGCAGTGAAACTTCTCTATATGATACTATAATGGTAGACACATGTTGTCACACATTTGTCAAAACCCCTTGAATGTACAACACCAAGAATGAAGCCAAATGTAAACTATGGCCTTTGGTTGATAATGCAAGTTATCACAGTGTTAATGTAGGTTCACTGACTGCTACCAATATACCACTTGGTGTGGGATGTTAATAGTGCGAGAAGCTGTGCTTGTTTAGAGGTAGGGGGTGTATGGAAAATCTCTGTACCTTCTGCCCAATTTTGCTGTGTACCTAAAACTGCTCTTAAAAATAATCTATTGCCCTGGCTGGTTTGGTTCAGTGGTTAGAGCATCGTCTTGCAGACTAAAGGGTTCCAGGTTCGATTCCAGTCAAAGGCACATACCTCGGGTGCAGGCTCAATCCCAGTCCCCAGTTGGGGCACATGTGGGAGGCAACCCAATCAATGTGTCTCTCTCACATCAATGTCTCTCTCTCCCTTCCACTTTCTCTGAAAAGCAATGGAAAAAATATCCTCAGGGGAGGATTAAAAAAAAATAATAATCTATTAAAAATGTTGGGGTGAGGGAAATGTGTGGGGTTATTAATAAGAATACAAAAATGTTTCCTTATTGCTCTTCCTTCAAGCTTCTGGATCTGGATCAGTTCACATAAAATGTATTCTAAAAATACAAAGCAAGGTGTCTACAAAACTGTAACCATGTACAACCAATTATCCATGTGAATAATGCCATCCTGTGCTACAAATATCACCGTAACCCACAACTTGTTTCTGTGCCTATTAAAATATCCTCATCATTCTCACGACTGGTTTTATGAGAAAACTATATAAATAAGAACTTGTAAAACAAATTTATACTAATAAGCTACAGTTTTTTATTCTGGATATTGGGAATCTATTTAAGGGGGAAAGTGAGGTGCATGGTCCAAAGATGAGGGAGACCATAAGGAACCAGCTCTGTGATAAAGGAAAGGTTGCCTGGGTGAATATAAAAGCAAAGATATATGAGGGGATGAAAAACACTAATGAAAAAGTTTCATTCTCATCTTGGCAGAAGATCTTTCATCCTATTTTTCGAGAAAATCAAGAGGAAGAATGTGCTGGAACTTGAGAGTTCACGGAGAGTAGGCAGGATGGAGAGGTGCAACAATGAATCCCTCAGATCCTGAGTAGCGGCAGAGCCCAGTGGAATTTAACAGTGGAATTTATTGGAGGTCAGTTTTATATAATTTTACTGTGCCTTTCTCTACTGTTAATTATTCAAGAAGTGATTAACCGATTTGTGGGATACTATATGCATCTTGCTTTTCATCTAATACTTGCTTCTGAAAAACATCATAATTCAATCTCTTTATCAAAGAGATCTTAATACAAACAGAAAAGAACTGAAATTAATTTTTTCTGCTCTTAACCACTCATAAAAGATTTAAGATTTGTAGTTAATAATTTTTGAAACAAAACTGAAAAAATAAAGAAAAAAATCATTGAAACAAATGGTAAAATAAGATTACAGAACCATATGTAGGTTGAACTTGCCCATGCTAGTCCTGTCCCTGACATTCAAAGTTAAATTAAAGCCACTGCTCCTATATTTCACAAAATAAAATCTGAAGAAAAAAATTCCTGCCCAGTGTTTCCTATTCATGTTTCTGAGTAAACTTCCTATTCTTTAATCAACTTACCTGCATCCCAGGGCTTAAAATCCTCTGCTTGCCCTTCTGACAACCATGTAGGTGATGAGACAATGGCTGGAGCAACTGTCGGCAGAAGTGGCTTTGGATCATCCTCATAAAATAACATCAGGTCCTTAGAGAAAACAAGAGAGCACGTTAAAGTTGAAAAAGAAATGAATCTCATTGCCTGAATTTGTTACAATGGACAGGCAATTTATGGAGATATAATCAGTATGTGCTATATGCAAAATGTATATAAACACATTTTGATTGAAATAATTCACACATAAGTTATCTATACAGTTGGGTGTCTGCTGAGTATAGGTTGGTCCAAATAAAGTCTACACAGTGGGATTGTTTGATGAGTCTTTTTCCCCATGAATGGGGGTTTCTAATAGTACTTTATTATAGTATAATTAACATAAAGTAAAGGCATAAAGCTTAAGTATGAGCTTCATAACTTTTAACTTTATGTACCTACATAACCACATTTCCTTCTCTCCAGAAAGTTCCCCCAAGTTCCTTTCCAATTGATACCATCCCTCCATCACTAGTAAACAGTATTCTATCACCATCAATGAGTTTGCCTGTTCTTGAACTTCATATAAATGTAAACATACACTATGTATTCTTTTCTGATTCCCACTGCTTAACATAATGGTTGTGATATTCACCCATATTTTGTGTACAAGGAGTCCCCCCTTATTTGTAGTTTTGTTTTCTGTGGTTTCAATTATCCACAGTCAACCATGCTCCAAATATAGTAAATAAAAAATGCCAGAAATCAACAACTCATGTTTTAAATCGTGCACCATTCTGAGCAGCGTGATGAAATCGTGTGCTGTCCTACTCCATCCCGCCCAGAACTCGAGTCATCCTTCTGTTCAGCATATCTGTGCTATATATACTGTCCACCTGTTAGTCACTTAGTAGCTGTCTTGGTGATCAGATTGACTGTCATGGTATCACAGTGGTTGTGTTCAAGTAACTCTTAGAGTAGCCTAATGCTGTCTCAGTGCCTGCATCATTCACCTCACTTCATCTCATCATGGTAGTTTTCTTTGCTGTGTGTTATCCTTGCCAGTTTTGGTATCAGGATTATGTTGGCCTCATAAAATGTGTTAGAAAATATTGCCTCTTCTTCAGTTTTTTGGAAGAGTTTGAGAAGGACAGGTATCAAATCTTCTTTGAATGGCAGGTAGAATTCACTAATGAAGCCATCTGGTCCTGGACTTTTTTGGGGGGGAGGGTGATGGGTTTTTCAATTTCCTCACTGTTGATCATTCTATTTAGATTTTGCAATACTTCATGATTAATCCAGGAAGATCATATAGTTCCAGGAACTTATCCATTTCTTCTAGGTTATTGAATTTGGTGGCATACAGTCTTTTGTAGTATTCTAGTATAATCCTTTGTATTTCTGCGACATCTGTGATATGTCTCCTTTTCATTTCTGATTTTGTTTATATGAGTCTTCTCTTTTTCCCTCAGTGAGTCTGGCCAGAAGTTTTAATATGTCCTGTTCCCACTCCCATCTGTCTCTATATCTTTTGAGCTCACCTTTTATTCCTTCTTTGACTCAGTCATTTTTTAGTTGTTTAATTTCCACTCCACATATTTTTGGGGTTTTTACTTCCCTTCTGCAGTTGATTTCTAATTTCAAAGCATTGTGGTCAGAAAATGTTTGGTATAATTTCAATCTTCTTAACTTTGTTGGGGCTAGTTTTGTGACCCAACATATGGCTTATCCTTGAGAATGTTCCATGTGCACTAGAAAAGAGTGTATAATCTGATGTTCTGGAATAAAAAGCTCTATAAAAGTCAATTATATCCATTTGGTCTAATGTGTCATTTAAGGCCAATATTTCCTTATTTTATTTTTATTTTTGGATGAGCTATCCAGAGCTGTCAATGGAGTATTTAGGTCTCCTACTATGATTTGTTTTTGTCAGTTCCTCCCTTTAGTTCTGGTAGTAGTTGCTTTATATATTTTGGTGCTCCCTGATTGGGTGCATATATATTGAGAAGTGCTATGTCTTCTTCTTCTAGTGTCCCCTTTATCATTATAAAATGTCCATCTTTGTTTCGTTACCTTTGTTATCCTGAAATCTACTTTGTCAGATATAAGTATGGCTACACCTGCTTTTCTGTGCATGCTATTTGCTTAGAGAACCATTTTTACCCTTTCGCTTTAGGTCTACCTTTGTCTTTGCAGCTTAGATATGTCTCCTGAAGGCAGCATATGGCTGAGTTCTGGGGGGGTTTTGTTTTTTTAATCCTCGTCAGAGGATATTTTTCCCATTGCTTTTCAGAGATAATTGCGGGGGAGGGAGAGAGAGAGAGAAACATCCATGGGAGAGAGACACATTGATTGGCTGCCTCCTGCACATGCCCTGACCAGGGCTGGGGACTGAGCCTGCCACAGAGGTATGTGCCCTTGATCAGGATCTAACCTGAGACCCTTTAGTCCGTGGGCCAACACTCTAACCACTGAGCGAAACCAGCTAGGGCTGAGTTTTGTTTTTTGATCAATCTGCTACTTTGCACCTTTCTATTGGTGAATTCAGTTCATTTACATTTAGGGTAATTATTGATGTATGAGGATTTCCTATAGCCACCTTACCTTTTGTTTTCTGGTAGCTATGTGCTTCCACTGGTTCTTTTCCTCTGTGTTTCTGTCTGTTGTTTTTATTTGGTGGTGTTCCATACTTTTTTCTTTGTTTCCTCTTTTTTAAAGGTATGTGTCTCAGTTTTGGTTTTTGTGTGTGTGGTTACTCGTATGTTTATGAAAAAGAAAGTTTTATATGTACAGTAGTCCTTTTTCTTTTGAATGCATCTGATCTCCAATCTCCTTTGCAAATTCAGGCCTTTACCTCCTCCCCTTTTGTTTTTGCTGTCACAAATTATCCCTATTTACGCTATAAGTTTGTTGGTGATCTAACTCCTAGAGCAAAAGTTTTAAATTGTGATGATGTCTTATATCATGATTTTTTGGCCAGCTCTACATGAAAGAGTTTTCTCCAACATTAAAAAAAAAGTTTTATAGTTTTACATTTTACATTTAAGTCTGTGACCCATTTGGAGTGAATTTCTGTTTGAGAGTCATGGTTTTGCCTATAAAATGTCCAATTGCTCTAATATCATTTGTTGAAAAGGTTACTGAATTTATTTTGTCAAAAATCAGTGGCCATATTTGTTTGGGTCTATTTCTTGGTTCTCTCTTATGTTTTACTGATCTAAGTGTCTATCCCTCCACCAATATGAAAAATCCCTATAAGATTACCAATAGGAAATGGCCAAATAAATTAACATTCATTTATATATCAAGAATACAGCAAAATTATATGTACTGATATAAAAATATGTCCATAACATGTAGTTTAGTGATAAAAGCGTATTTTGAAACAATATACATTGAATGATTGCACTTGTTATTATAGAAAGATACGCAAGATACATTGCTTAGTTCAAAGCATGTCACAGAGCAGTACGTAATGAAAAAATCCATTTGGGTGAAAGAAATGTAGGGACCCAGAAAATTTCTTCCCAAAATTCATAAAAAACCTGCTAGTAGTAGTTGTCTCTTAGAAAAGGAACTGAAGGAATATGGAGAAGAAGAGACTTTGTTTTTCACTTTTTACCCTTTTATATCGTTTAAACTTTTTTCAATAAGTATTTTCTAATTTAAAAAGAATAAAAGTACAAACATGAAAATAAAAAAGAACTCAAGCATAAAGCAATGAGCAGAAGGTAAAGGGATAATAAATTAACATAACTAAAATAAGTATAATTTCCATTTTTCTAATAGCTTTGATGAGGTCAAATTTTCACATTACATGACATGCTAATAACTCCAAAGATAAAAAGTGTTTACTCTTAATTTAGCAAAGTAATAAATGAAGGCAGTAGGAAATAAACATTTATCTTCTACCACCAGCAACTTAGTAACTCACAATGAGACTGAAGGCTTTGGTCAACTTTATTTTGTGTGAACCAATTCATAGCATCCCTATCTGTTGCTAGGGGAACAGCTGTGAAGGAAAGTCATACCCTCCTTGTTGAATCTCCTCCAACAGGAAATGAGGAAGGTCTTTCGAGGCAGTGAAAAACTACAAACAGCCTTATGAATTAGCAGATTTAATCATAAAATTTCTGGACAGTATGCACAGCTATGTCTAAGCATCATAAACCAAAAGAATTGTGTTCCTTTACATAGGCGAGCACTGCTCTGTTTTTGAAAGCCCTAGTCTAGGACTGCTTTGAGGTAATTCTTTCATTTGTAGAAAGAGAATAAAGAGGTTGCTATTTAAAGTTTTTAAAAGATATTTTTAAGCACCTCTCATTCTGTCTAAGCAATCAACAATGTCATTTCTTCTTCATTCTGTATTAAGAACATGAGGATTTTAATGTAGATACAGTACATGTGGCAACAACAATTAGATGTACTGTTTAGCTTGATAGCTTTTGTCTTCTGCTTCTAAAGCAGAAGACTGAAGAGGACAATATTGGGTTGCGTCCAATGTTCCTGACAGTAATTAGAGGAGACGCTTGTCAGTAGTAATATTTTGAAAAAGGGAAATCCAGCTTTAAACTTCCTTTGAGGGAAGAGAATCACTTTTTTGCTCATTGATACAAGATCTGGAATGATTTAAATAAATTACAGTAGCTTCCTCTAAAGTAAGATAAACCAATAACAATGAGAATTTATTGACTGATACAAAAAAACTAAGTCACATTTTATATCTCTGTTAGGCTCCAATGCATGTAAGATTATTCCAGTCTACTTTCTCCCTTAAAAGCCATTGGCAGCAAATAAACTGATCTCAAATTTAAAAATAATTTTAACTTAATGTCATATCTTTTAAAATAATCTACACATTTTCAATCTATGGGCTATTATGCAATTAAGAAACAGTGAAATTTTAATTTTATGTACTTTTCTGAGCTGCTATAAATTCAAAACCTAATTGGGCTGGGAAAAAGAGTTGGGAACGGAAGGTCAGCAACTAATTCCAATCTCCCTCACAGGAACTGTGGCAGGGAATGCTACACAAAGCACTCTGAGCAGGAGACCAAAAAGCCTCTTTCACAGGAAAAGGAGAGAAAGAAGTTACCACAGAATGTCTACTATTCATTCATTTCTTCATTAACAAAATTGGCAACTAAAGACTCTGTAGTGAGTAAAACTAAAAAAGGTCCCTACTCTCCAGGAGCTCTCCTGGCAGAAGAAACACAAGCTGCCATGCAGCAAAGCAAGAGTGAATAGTAGACATTCTGT